GGAAAGGGCCATTAAAGGCCACGGAGACCCAGAGGCCGCGTGCGGAGGGCGAGTGTCCAGGAGAGCCATCTTGCCTGGCTGAAGGCCGGAAAACTCGTGGCTGGGGTACTTGCTCAGGAGTCGGGGGGATCCCACGAGGCCTTCCAGGTGTGTTGGGGATTCGGTCGTGTTCAGAATTTGCTGTGGGAAACCATGACAGGGGTTCTGGTGGAGCGAGACTGGGTGGCCTGGGCAGGGCGGGGCAGGGGCAGGGGCAGGGGCAGGCAGTGGTTGGAAAGGGCCCTTAAAGGCCACGGAGACCCAGAGGCCGCGTGCGGAGGGCGAGTGTCCAGGAGAGCCATCTTGCCTGGCTGTAGGCCGGAAAACTGGGGTACCTGCTCAGGAGTCTGGGGGATCCCACGAGGCCTTGCAGGTGTGTTGGGGATTCGGTCGTTTTCAGAATTGCTGTGGGAAACCATGACAGGGGTTCGGGTGGAGAGAGACCACGGGCCTCCCCTGCAAACCACCTCCGCCCCCATCCCTCCTCCCCTGCAAATGCCATCTTGAGAGCCACTGATGCCAGCAGAGTTTTTCCTGCTGGAGAATTGGAATGCCGGGTTCTCGGGACACTCTCGCTGAGGCTGAAGTGTGGTTGGCTGGAAAGTGCGAGAATAATCCTAGAAGGGCATACGTCAAAAATGACGGTGAAGGGAACCAGCAGTTAGCGTAATGGCTATGTCGCTGGACTCCCACGTAGTCGACCGCGGTTCGTGCGGGCCTCCCCTACAAACCACCTCCGCCCTCACCCCTCCTCCCCTGCAAATGCCATCTTGAGAGCCACTGACCGCAGCAGAGATTTTCCTGTTGGAGAATTGAGATGCCGGGTTCTCAGGACACTCTCGCTGAGGCTGTTTGAAACGTGGCGAGCGCACGTGCCCTACAGTGAAAATCTCTCAAAAAAAAAAAAATGACGGTGAATAGTCTTGGAAGGAAAATGAAAGGGGAGAGGGTGAGCAGAGAGAAAGAAAAGGAAATACAGAAGAAAGTTAACTTCAGATCCCAAAAGTGTAGCTTTTTCTTCCCGAAGTTTATTTGGAGAAAGCTCTCAGTTCCCTGGGATCACTGGCAGACATCTGCTGGGTGAACCCGGGAAGGTCTCCAGTCTTGAACTGGGAACCTTCCCATGTGGAATTGCCTGGTAGGGCATCAGGATTGTCACTGGCCGCCATGTGGCCCCCAAGTGCAGCTTTTATGACAAATTTTGGGAAATCCAATTAACTTTATTCCTCAAATGCCTTTTACTTTGCTAGTGTTTTCAATTCTCTTGCTTTTTTTTTTTTTTTTTTCAGACAGATTTTTGCTATAGGGCATTGTGTTGAGAGACAGAAAGGAAGAAATCACCCCCTGGGGGGATAGCCATACCACAATCCCATCTCCTTCCACATTCACACCCAGCATGAGATCTAAGCTGCCGGTCAGGGACTTGAACCACAGTTAACCACGTGGGAGTCCAGCAACGTAACCATTACGCCATCTTCTGGTCCCCAATTTCATTGCTTCTATAGAAAAAGATTTTCGTTTTTAGTTTTAGCCGCAGGGCATGTGTGCTGGCAGAGAAAGGCACAGAGAGAAGGAAAGTGAGGGGGATGGCCACACCGCGATCCCTTCTCCTTTCTGGACTTCGGACACACAGGCACACTCGGGCATGTCCCTCTGCCTCCAGGTCTGGCAGTCAGCTGGGTGGAGTTCTGTTGCTATAACCACCACACCACCTGCTGGGCAGGGTTAAGGTTTTTATGCCTTTATTCTTTTCATTCCGTCTTGAGGGCGGGGAGATGGGGGTGAATGGCTCTCTGCGGGAAGATGTGGGGATTCTTTCATCAGAGCAGGAACTTTCCCAGGGTGAGCAGTAACTCCAGTGCTGGGTTTTGTGTGAGCCTGAGTAAGTGACTGCTGTTAGGCTGTTGTCAGTGTTGCTCTTTACAAGGATTTATTTATATTCATTAGAAATCCAGGTCACAAGATCATTTGTTTTGCTGGTGGGTGGAGGTGGGGTCCTGGAAGGGATCTCGGCCTGTCATTCAGGGCCAGGCGGTGTCGCAGTGGCAGTGCAACTGGCCCCACAGGGAAATGTCCTGGGTTTGCATCCCAGGACCTCCCTAAGGTGCCGGGTGTGCAAGCATGTGCCCGCCATCCAGGCTGGCCGAGACTGCGGTCAGCCGTGGTGTGAAAACTGTTGGAGCTCTCTTTCTCTCCCTCAGAAGAAATAAATAAATATGCTTTTTAAAAGAGAGTATTGTTGGGACCGCCAGGTGGTGTAATGGCTACGTCGCTGGGCTCCCATGTAGTCAACCGTGGTTGGAGTCCCGGACCCGGGGGGTTAAACTCCCGCCGGGCCTGGGTGCAT